AACTTTTCCATCCCCACCGAAGACCAAAAAGGACTTTTTCTTCACAATAATAATACATTTTCAAGCAAACAGATAATGAGAAGACAGAAGAATATCAACCAAAAGATAATATTTGATTCAAAAACAGATTCACAGAACTAAAGTAAAAGAAATTAAATGACTGGCAGACAGTGCAATTAATGTATATTTTGACATTGGGAAATAATGGGTTTAGGTTAAGCACTACCCTTAGACTATCAGAGGATTGGAAAGAACTCGAGAGAGGTGCCCCAAAGCTACCAGACAATACCATACTCAATCACAAATGTTTTTGAGATGCAGACAGCAGCTGGACATTAAAAGCTCTCACTTCTGTTCCTCACTACACCTTTTTGGTTAGCAAAGTTTGGTTTAAAATCCTAAAATGATGACCTCACTGTCAATACATTGGTATCAAAGTGTGCCAGAACTATTTTCATTCTTCTTCCAGTTGCTGTCTGCATTTCAAAATTGTCTCTGCTAAAGTTCTCTTTTGGGACAAGCAAGGTGAAGTGCATTTATCATTTATAAATATTCACTCCTATTTCACAGCCTGAATTACCTTGTGATTTCTTGCTGCTGCTCCTCAGCTGTTGTGTCTGTGGCAAATGGTCTTCCTAGACTTCTCTGTTTGGCCTGAGATAACAAGAAAGGTAACCTAATTTTCATCAACATATCCTTGATCAATAGAGCAAATTTTGAGAGTAAACAGCCAGCAGGTCAATAATTTTATGATAACAATTCTTGTTTCTGCCTACAAAAAGTGTAGCTTTTGGCAATTTGACTTCTCTCTCTGTAATTAACAATTGAGGGAAAGAGCCACTGGATTACATCTCAAGAAGACAGATATATGAGTACATTTATACTCTGCTTTGTTGACTTTTGAATACACACAAAACTATTCCCTTTCAAATGAAGGAATACTTGACTTTACACTGTACCTTAAGGTATTCTATTTCCTCCTCAAGTTGCTTGGCATTCTGAAAGAAAGACACCCAAGTTGTAACTCAATGAGCAAGTCCACTTAACCCTATAACCTTTTAATCCCTGAGAGTGACAAGGTTCTAATTTCTCCTTACAATATCACCCTTGAATAAAAGGTTTAACTCACAAGAATAAAGGAAAATGATCAAAAACTAACAAAGCTCTTGATGGTTTCACAAATTCTCCCTGTTAGAACCTTGGAAATTTATAGAGAACAGTATGGAGAATATGCAGGATGTAAAAGGTTAACTCCCATGAGTGACTGCGACAATATTTCTCCTAACAATTTCGATACAATATCAAGCAGACAAGTGATGAGAATAAAGAAAAATATCTATTAGGGTATTCGTAGTTGATCTAATACCAAATTCTCCAAACTTACAATATATGAATTGTACAGCAGAAAGTAAGGAGAATTACTAATGAGATCTAAGGTGTGAAAAGGCTAACAAAGGGTATTGAGATCTTCATATACTAACATTGACTTACATTAGCTCAGAATTTTAAATTAACCCTTTAACTCCCAGATCAAATTTGTAATCCTCCTTACTGTCAACCATTCAATTCTTATAATGTTAGTTAAGAGAATTTAATATTGGATCAACTAATTATCTCCAAATTGATATTTGTCTTTATTCTCATCACTCACCTGGTTGATATTGTATTGATATTGTAAGGAGAAATTCTGTCTTGGTCAATGAATATTACTTCACCTGATCACTCCTTGCTCTTAGTTTTCTTTCCTTGTTAGCTTCTGAGGACATTTCCTCCACTTGAGCAGCAAGCTAATAACAACAAAAACAGATGTAACATTTAAATATTACTTCTTTTCCTCCACTTACAATATTTCATTTAATAGACACATACAAAGACTGACTACCTAAGAGGCATGCGGTCAATAAGAAAAATCAAATGCTGATTTCAAGATCAATATAAACATTTTGGATTTTATTGCAATATTTCTCAAACATGGGAAATGGCTACCATGAAAAAATTGTAGAAATCAGTACACTGGTCTTAGAAGTTGAAAAAAAGGAGAAAAAAATCTCACTTCTCTCTTTTTTCTATCAGCATTGCGAACTTCCTGTCTGAGACCATCAAGCTTTTGTAAGGTGGACTCTATTAAAACAAACAATAAACAGTTCAGTGACATGAAAAGAATAATACCACAGATTGAAAAACAATTTCTTTTATCATATCCTTCACTTGATTTACAGGGCTAAACCCTGCACTCTGGCCCCCTTAAATTTAATGGTGCTTTCAAAGCCAACACTTCTCATCACTTGCAGTTGTTCTTAACTTTTGAGGCATATTGAGACTATTTTCTTTAATCTTTTCATTTCTTTAAACTAAGTGAAAAGCATCGGTCATTTAGAGTTGCTGCACATGACTAGAAATTGTTTGTTAACTCCTAATACACTCAGTGGAGATTAACTATCTTGATCACTTTGTCTTCCCATACTATGCTGCAAGTTACTAAATACATTTTGCCTTCAATGAAAAGGCATTTGCAGTACAGGTTTGAGCTCTAGTAAGAAAGAAAAACTTGGTCTATAATTTACAGCACCAACCCCCTTAACACCAGGGAAGAGATTTATGTGCTACCTTTTAAGTTGAGGGCTAAAGAAAATCAAACAGTTCCTACCCAGTTCTTCCTCTTTTTCACGCAGCATCCTCGACACCTTAGTCTTCTGTGATCTTATGTCTGCCAGCTTGTCATTCAATTCACTAAACTCTGCCATGGCAA